AATTTAAAAATTAAAATACAAAAGTACAATAATGTACTTCCCCAGACTCTATGTCTGACCTGTGGGCCACACTTTGCCCACCTCTTGTTACAGCAGAAAGTTAACTGTAACTGCAGTGCCCTATTAGAATCCCATTCTCCAGCACTTCATTTGTTGCAAAGGTGCGCCTTTGCATGCCAGTGAAAAGACCATAAAGATGGGACCAGCACATCATTTTTTGGTAAAGAAAACCCCTGAGAAGACTCATTCTCATGTCCCTTCCTGAGCATGATGAGGCCAAGAGAAGGACCTCAACAAGGGCCTCTAAACTTGGACAGGCTTGTATGGTGGGGGGGGGGGGGAGAGATACAGGCTTTAGATAGCTTAGACTGTAATCCCATAGGTCATCATATGTCATCACCCACACTCTATTTTCTTTTTATAATTATCACCAACTCCATGATTATAGGTATTGGCAACACTGGCTGGAGAATTCATCATCAGTTTACATTAGAAGCTGTAGAAAATTTAGAAGTGTTCACCAAGTGTTTCTTAAAAATGCAGATCACTTGGAGAATAATGTTGTTCTTGCTTATTCAGTTTATCTGTTTGGCATACACTTCACATGCATGACATGAATTTGCATACTACCATGCCACTGTTGATAGTAATTTATCTGAATTACTAGCCTTATGAAAGTATTACTCATACATGGTGCACTCAGGTGGAACATAGAAGTGCAGCACTGCATCTGTTTCTGTTGTAATGGGTGAGCTCTACCCATCAACTTCATTCTTGAGTTTGGAAGTCTGGGAACTAATCTATTAGAGCTCAATCCAGTCCAGACACTCAGGAGATCATTCAGGATCACAGTATATGGGCTTGGGTATTCTGGACGTGGGCAACACCCACACTGTGTGACTTTCATCCCACTGTCATAGATGTTTCATTTTGCCACAAGTGGTATGTAATAACAGAAAACAATGTTCTTCATTGTTTCTCTGGATGTTATTTTCAGGAACCACACAATCTCAAAGCTGTGGTCACAAGGTAGGGTGAGAGTGAGAAGGTGTAAACTCTCTGTACCATTCCCTTGAAATAATAACAACAGCAATTATTATTATGTATTTACAGAATTTATATTTTGCTCTTCTCACCCAAAGGGGACTCATGGTGGATCACAGAACGCATGCACAGCAAACATTCAATGTCATTAAACAGACTGGACAGACAACAGATAAAGGTATTATGTCAGCATTTTTTCTCAACTTCAGCATCCTGGAGGTTGTGCTAGATTCCGACCACAGGAGGGTGCTATCACTCCATCCTATATGATGAAGAGCCTTGATCACAGACTTCTTCCTTTCTTTGATCACCAGCGTTTTCTGTTATTTCTTTTATGGTGGCATAAAATACTTCCCTGAGTAAGCGGTGCCTAATTTCTATTTTCACAGCTCACAGCTGCTTTCAAATTGCTTTGAATCATAGAGTTGGAAGAGACCTCATGGACTATCCAGGCCAACCCCCTGCCAAGAAGCAGGAATATTGCATTCAAATCACCCCTGACAGATGGCCCTCCAGCCTCTGTTTAAAAGCTTCCAAAGAAGGAGCCTCCACCACACTCCAGGGCAGAGAGTTCCACTGCTGAACGGCTCTCACACTCAGGAAGTTCTTCCTCGTGTTCAGATGGAATCTCCTCTCTTGTAGTTTGAAGCCATTGTTCCGCGTCCTAGTCTCCAGGGAAGCAGAAAACAAGCTTGCTCCCTCCTCCCTATGACTTCCCTCACATATTTATACATAGCTATCATGTCTTCTCTCAGCCTTCTTTTCTTCAGGCTTAGGTGGACAGTAAGCTGGGCTGAAGGTTGAATGCTCAGCCTGACCCAGGCTTCAAACTGCCAACCTTCCAATTGGTAAGATCTCTTGCTGCTGGTGATAATGATCTTATGTCCTCCTGTGTCCATTTGCACAGTCCATACATTTCAGTGACTATATTTAGGACTTTCTGTTCTTTATGTTCCTGCCTTGATGGGTTGAGTGGTGTTTTCTTTGCAATGTGGCACTATGCTTAAGCCACTGGAGTGGAGCTTGGAAGCTGTGGGTCATGAAAATCACTGAGTATTACTATTATCATTATTATTATTACCCCGCTTTCCTCTCTTAAAGGAGACTTCAAGCTGTTTTCTCCAGATTAGTTACCCTTCTTCATCATAATCTTCCTCAACAGGACTTTTTGAGGAAAAAGCAGTGAGGACAACCATATATATTAGTGGTTCTCAACCTTCTTAGTGCTGTGACCCCTAAATACAGTTCCTCATGTTGTGGTGACCCCCAACCATAAAAATATTTTTGTTGCTACTTCATAACTGTAATTTTGCTACTGTTATGAACTGTAATATGAATATCTGATATGTGAGATATATTTTTAATTAACTGGACCAAATTTGGCACAAATACTGAATATGCCCAAATTTGAATGGAGGGGGTTGATTTTGTCATTTGGGAGTTGTAGTTGCTGGGATTTATAGTTCACCTATAATCAAAGAACATTCCGAACTCCACCAACTATGGAATTGAACCAATTTTGGCACACAGAACTTCCATGACCAAAAGAAAATAATGAAAAGGTTTGGTCAGCATTGAACTTAAGTTTTCGAGTTGTAGTTCACTTACATTCAGAGAACACTGTGTACTCAAACAATGATGAATCTGGAACAAACTTGGCACGGATACCCAATATGCCCAGATGTGAACACTGGAGTGTGGGGTAAACAGACATTGACATTTGGGAGTTGTAATTGCTGGGATTTATAGTTTACCTACATCCAAAGAGCATTCTGAACCCAGCCCACAATGGATCTGCACCAAACCTACATGGCAGCATTGAATACTGGTGGGGTTGGGGGGCTGTTTTTGAATTCTGGGAGTTGTAGTTCACCAACACCAAGGAAGAGAAGGTCAGGCAGACAGATCTTCAGCCTTCTCTGCCAAAGGGGTTCCTAACACCATCAGAAATACAGTGTTCCCTCACTACTTCATGGTTCACTTTTTGTGGAATCACTGTTTTGTGGGTTTTGCCTCCCAGTTAATGAATGGTTGCTTTTGCCCAGAGCAGCGTTCTAATCCCGCCTCCTGGCAACGATGGAGTGTGGAAGGGTGTTTCACCCTCCCCCTCAGGAGAGAGGCAGCCAATCAAGAAAGATTGCAAAGCAAAGCAGTCTGATGATCTAGAAAATAAAGTAATGAGAAAGTGTTGGTTTCTAATATATGTAATTTCTCTATGCTTGTGGGTAAACAGTTCATGGGGTTCAGAACGCTATCTGTTTGTAGGTGAACTGTAAGTCCCAGTAACTACAGCTCCCAAATGTCAAGGTTTATTTCCCCTGAACTCTATCTGTGTTCATATTTGGGCATATTAAGTATTCTTGCCAAGTTTGGTCCAGATCCATCATTGTTTGAATCCACAGTGTTCTCTGGATGTAGGTAAACTACAACTCCCAAAGTCAAGGTCAATGCCCACCAAACCCTTCTAGTGTTTTCTGTTGGTCCTGGGGATCCTGTGTGCCACGTTTAGTTCAATTCCATCATTGGTGGAGTTCGGAATGCTCTTTGATTGTAGGTGAACTATAAATCCCAACAACTACAACTCCCAAATGACAAAATCAATTTTTTTGAGTGATGGTCACTTCTTGGGTTACTAGGTGTCTTGTGGCCAAATTTGATGTCAATTCGTCCAGTTGTTTTTGAGTTATGTTAATCCCACAAACGAACATTACATTTTTATTTATATAGATATATACATACATATACATATATAGATATACAGGTATATATTTAGAAGGAAATAACGAGCTGCCTTTAGTCCTTGCTGTTGTTATTCCAGTATAAATGTATATATAGCGAAAGCCACCTAGAGGTCTATTTGGTAAAAGGGGGACAAAAAAAATGAATGAAACGCAGAGACAGAAAAGGATGGCGAGGAGACTGCTTCCTTCATCTGCGTCAATAGAAGCCGCGAGGTTGCCCTCAAGCATTGGGTCAGGACGGGGCTTCCCAAAGGCTCTGGGTGTCCCAAGGGAGGGAGCGCGAAGGGTCCGGCGCTCAGCTCATCTCTGCTCAGCCGGGCTGCGAGGCTTCTTCCTTCCTTCCTTCCTTCCTTCCTTCCTTCCTTCCTTCCTTCCTTCCTTCCTTCCTTCCTTCCTTCCTTCCTTCCTTCCTTCCTTCCTTCCTTCCTTCCTTTTCCCGCTTCGTGCCCTTCCGCACGCGCCGCCTCGTCCTCTCCTGGCGTCGCCTTCTCCCAGCCTGCCTTTCCCCCTTTGAAGGCTCCGCTGCCGCTATTGTTGCCTGCGCGGTGACCCATTTTTCTCTCTCTCTCTCTCTTTCTCCTCGCTGGCTCGCTCGCTGCTTCTCAATCGCCTTCCAGTGGGCACCGTTTCAGGCCTCGCCCGCCGCCTTCTCCCTCTCGAAGTCCCCCTTTCAGGACCACCTTTGGACAGCGACTTCGCTCCTGCCTCCTTTCCGCCCCCCTTTTAATGCTTCCCCGGGATTTCCCCATTGGCTGAGGAGAGCAACGCCTCGCCGCCCCTTCTCATAGGCTGGACTCCACGCCAGTCTAAAGTTGAGGCAAGAAGAAGAGGAAGGGAGGAGACGCTTGGAGGGAAAAGTCTCCTCCAAACAAGGGGGGGGGGGAGGGATATGTGAGGATGAGGTTCCACTCCATCTCATTCCCTCCAGGTTGGATGGGCCAGGAGACGCCCTCTTCCATTGGAAAGATACGGCTGTCTGTCAACTAAAAGGGGGGGGGGGCAGGATGAGGGGAGGGACGTCTAAATCCCTGAGAGAGAGAGAGGAAGAGAGAGAGAGGGCGTGGTTTCGAAAGTTGGGGGAGGAGGAGGGGGGAGAGAAGCATGGCTTGGGAGAGGGCGGAGCCTGGTTGGGGAAAAGGAGGGGGCTTGGAGTGGGGAGAGAGGAGGAGGAGGAGGAGGAGGAGGACTGGAAGGGAGGGGGGACGCGGCGCGCGCGCGGAGATTGCCCTTGTGTCTCGAGCTGGGAAAGCGGCGGCTCGTGCAGCGTTAGCGGCGGCGGCGGCGGCGGAGCAGTCTCCCCGCGCGCGCGGAAGGGAGCGCGTGCGAAGCGGCGGAGGAAGGCGAAAGGGGCTGCTCTTGCGGCTGAGCAGGGGGTCTCCTCAGAGCCCGCTCCCGCGCGCACACGCACACAAAGAGAGAGAGAAGAAGAAGACGAAGAGGGCGAGAAGGAGCTGCCCTGAGAAGGAGCAGCCCAGGGAAGGAGCTCCCTCGCTCGCCTGCCTTCAAGACAAGGGGCTCCTCGAGGAAGACAAGCAGGAGGAGGAGGAGGAGGAAGAGGAGCGGGGGGCGCCTGGTGCGCGACGCCTCGGGAAGGCGGAGGAGGCTGGGGGGGAGCCCGCCTCGGTCCGGGAGGGGAGGGTTGAGCCGGCAGCCGACACCGCGGGCCCCCGCCGCCCGCCCACGCCACCCCGCTCCCCTGCTTCACCCCGCCGCAACCGGAGGGGCCGAGGGAGAAGAAGACACTGCGGACGACGAGGAGGAGGAGGAAGAGGAGGACGCGGTGTGGCGGCTCTTTCCGCGGGGAGGACGGACCCAGGCAGGAGAAGAGGAGCAAGCAGCAGCAGCAGCTGCGGGATTCTCTGCCTCGCGCCCGGCCCGCCCGAGGGAAGCCCCCAGGATGCGGCTGAAACCGAGCGTCGTCTTGCGCTTATACAGCCTCTGCGGGATCCTCATCCAAGGTACCACCCCCGCCCCGGCCCTCCTCCACCTCCTCCTCCTCTTCCTTTGCCCCCCCCCCTCCTCGCGCCTAACTTCGGGCTCTGGACCCATCGCCTCCCCCCTTCAGCCCCAGTCCCCTCGCTTGACCTTCTTCCCACTCCTCCCCTCCCCTTCCTCAGCCTGGAGACTTGTCCCCAACCTGCCCCTCATTTGTCTCCCCAGAGGGACGAATCCCTCCCTCCCCTGGAGACTTTCCCCCCTCCTGGAGACCCGTCCTCAACCTGCCCCTCATTTGTCTCCCCCCTCACAACACACACCGACGGACGCCCCGCTTCCCACAGATCCGGATTCCCTCCTTCATGCCTTTCCTTCCCCTCCTCCTCGCCTCCCCCTCTTTCCCCTCCAGCCCCACTGACACCGCGTTTTTCCCCCTCCAAGTGGTGCACAGGCATTAATCCTTCTCCGCCCTCCCTCATGCCTCCCCCCTCTCTCCCCCTTCCCCCCCCTTTGTGAGCCTTGCACCTTCTCTTCCCCCCCCCTTCCTTTCAACTCCCCGTAACCTTCCCTTCCTGCCAGCCTTTATCACCCTCCTTCACCCCCCACCGAATCCGTCCATAAAAGTGAAAAGGGGGAATGAATGCAGCCAGGAGAACAGCGTGTGCTCAGCCTCGCCATCCCGGAGTGGGGGCTCGAAGCCTGAAAGCCAAAGGGCTGGTCCAGGAGTGGTTTCCTTTGGGGAAGGGAGACTTCAAGATGAGCAAATCTGGGTGCCTGAAAGATCCTTTCCCTGGATCCCTCCTTCCCATCACCGGCAATACGGAATAGATCCCTCCTGGCAACCCCTTCCCAAACACTGTGCGATTTGCCCCTTGTTTCTCATCCTTATTTGCGCAAGGTTGAGGCATCAAGTGGAAATAAAATAAATGCACTACTTACAGGGGAAGGGAAGGTACAAAACTACTGTCTTTAGGCAAATGGACGGTTGCGGAAATAGGTGGAGGTGAGGAAGGGCTGGAAAGCAAGGCAGCACATTTCCAGCTCCCCCTCACCTCAGTGCTCGGAAATCAAATTAAATGGTGATGTGCATTAAGGAGCCAACAGAGAGGCTCTGTTGTCCCTGAGAGAATGTGGATGTGGTGCTGGAATGTGCAATGAGGGTAATGGATGTGCTTGTGTGCGCATCTCTCCCTCTCTCTCTTTCTCGCTCTCTTTATGGCTGCAGTGTTGGAGTATGTGGCTGAGAGAGGCATGTGCTGCCCTGTTTTTTCCTTCCCTTTCCCACAAGCAAAGGGAGAATGGGGTGGCTAGAGAGCCAAATGTGTTGCCAGGAAGGAGTCTTTGAGTGTTAAGTGATCATCTAGATAGCTCTAAATGAGGTCAGCAAGCATCAGCAACTTCTCCATGCTTTCCTCAGGAAGAATTGGCTTGGTCTCTTTGTGTTTAGGGAATTTGGAAAGAGCTGTGTGACCTTGTGACGTATCCCTCCTTCCCTGACTGTCTCTTCTTCAGTAGCAGCAGCATTATAAAGTTTATTGTATTTCATGCTGCCATGCACTTGCAGTATCAGGAGATTAAGTCTCTGGGGAAGGCAGTGGAAGCTCCCTCCTCCACTCCATCCGCTGCCCACCACAAACTGAAGTAATCTTGGAGTAGGTGACTCTGCTGTATCTGGAAACCTGCATGCTCACGGCCCCTGTTTCATTTTCCAGGAAGCAGCATTTTTGAGAAAGCGGTGCTGAAAGAAAATGAAATGATTGCGCTTTGCGACTGCAATGGTTTTATAGGGCTGTTTGCTTTCCTTATGGATCTGTCTGAGCTCCTGGGAATGTCACATTACTAGGAGCTGGTGTGATGCTGCTGTATGGGATTATTTATTGGGGAATCTGGCAGGTGGCATATGTAGGGGTTGTCTCTCTTGTTACATTTCCATGTGAAGTGCCAATTCCCTTTGCTTCACAAGGGGGGGGGGAGGCTCTCTGTTATTGATTTTTCTCATCAGTGTAATTGTGGTTGCTTCTGGTGAAGGAAAACTTGATATTTTTAGGATGGAGTACATGTATTCAGCACACAATGTGTTCCATAGCCACCTTATGTTTTAAAATGGTATCTGTTCATCTAGATATGAGTATTTTATTTTTTAAAAAGAGCAGTTCAGTGAATGTGCCAGGGGGAAAATGCACCACTGCAGACAGAATCAGGTAAAGGGAAAAATGCCATTCAGTAGGTTGCTCTTGGGTATTGCCTGCCTGAAGGTAATCAATCTGGGCCTTTCCAAGTGGCATAAGAAACAGCCTGATTCTTGTCGTATTATCTACCTGGTCCTTTTTCTGATTTGTTTTAAAAATACGAGGCATTTTGACAGCCAAACCCACCAGTTTTGTTTTCAGCAACAGTTGACAAAAACAACATTTCAAGCATTCTGTCCCACAAGCTGAGGCCCAGAAGGATGCTTTATAAAGCACTTTTACCAATCTCCTCCCTCATAATTAAAATCAAGTGGCCAACTACTTCTTAATATGTTGCTGATTGACTTGTTTGTCCTTTTTTCTGATCCTGGTTTTTCTGTCATGGCAAAGAAACCATTCTGACACAGGAAATACATCCATAGCAAGTGTTGCTTAAAACAGTTTTACATTTCACACTTTGCCTGCAATTTCCTGTATTTTGTTTAGTTAATAACTTTTGATGCATTCCTATATTCAGTATATTTAGTACATATAGACACCATCACTGTTGTCTGGAAAATATAGAGTTCTGCTGTCAAAATTTGCTTTCCAAACTTTTCATTTGATCAGTTCAATGCTCCTTTAGCCTGTTTTCATTTCTCATCTGCAGGTTGTATTGTATTGGAACAACGATTTAAACTGCTTAAATCTATATGAAACCAAGCTTTCTGGAGATGTTTACTGCAGAGGTCCAGAGTTTTTAATTTCCTTGAAGAACGTTGAAGTGAAAAGTCACCTGGTTCCCTAATACCTTAAGTGGGGTAGTCATATTAATATGTAGTCAGCAAGTGACTCCCTGATACTGATTTATACTTATGTTTGTATAGTCAAAATTGACTATATGGGAATCTCTTTGTATTAGAATGGTTTTCCATAAATATGATCAGCTATGATGATAATGATTTGTACCTTTAAAGACATACATTGTTGAAGTTCCAGGTATCTCTGTACAAAATGGAAAAGTATTACTTAAGTACCTTCATGCCATTTAGTGATACCAATCTAAAAGACCAAAAGTGTGAGAGAGAGATTCCTTAGGGAGAGTTAGAATATTTTTGTCACCTAGGTCTCAAAATGAATGTTTTTGCTTAGGTTCAGTCAGTATTAGCTGCAGTAAAAATAGGTCCTCCTGATTATGCAAGTGTAGCTCCACCCATATATCCCAAACCACCCCCTTTGTAGTGAAAAATAATGTTACATTTATTTCTTGGGATGCTTAATGGCATTATTTTGATTTTCAAAACTACATGATAAATTTGCAGAGCTAAATATTTGAAACTGGTGGATTTTATCAGCATTACAAAATTAATTATAAGCTTACTTGAACAATCTAAAGGCAGTCATTAGCTATGTAATGTACTTTCAAAAGCTATGAATTGCATAATGTGTGGTGTGAAATGGCAGCAATAAATATTTTTTACTGTACTTCATGTGTATAGAGGTGTTAGAATTGTCCCAGAATTGTAGCTGCTGTAGCCCCCTGCTGTGTGATAATGCAAATGGCATCAAATGCTTTAATGTGCTGTGCTTTTGTGAAAATACTGGGTCGCTCTGAATTACATGCAGAAACTGTTACTCAGCAGTTCACTAGCACTGAGTAAATATTTCACAAAACAATTCCACCAGCTCCTTGAGGAAAAGTGTGATTGAAGTGAAAATTTCAGTGAGTGATTGTCAGCAGATGACTAGCTAATACTCTGTTTGAGTGTGATTGTGATATGCCCTTTCAAAACATCATGCTGATAAGTTTATGGATCAGGAACATATTCCCCCTTTCTCTTAAGAATAAGTAGAAACAACGCGTTGTCTCAAATGATTTCTGTTATGTCATAAAACTACCCTAGTGGTCATGGTGATCTTCAAAATGAGGTGATATTTAAATATTCTGACATTTTTGTATCTGTTTTGAGAACTTTGGTTTTGCAAATAACACTATATTTTAATTATGTTTAAAACCATGAACCAAACATTCTTTGCCTCTTCCATCATTATATGCATACCACAAAATCCTGGTGGTTTGAAGTTTATTTAAAATCATTATGATTTTAAATCCCAATAAACAAAGGGTGTATGTAAACTCTTCCATACATTTAATAGAAAAATGTTTTAAATAAAACAGAAATGTAAGGCACCAGCTTAAGATATGTAAAGTGATAATAAACAAACACCCCTCTGTCAGCTAAATCTTGGCATATTGACTTGGGTGTCCTAGGGAAGAAGTCCTAAAGGAGAATCTTCAAGTTACTATGAACAGGACTGTAGCTCTAATTTGTTTATATGTAAAGTTAAATTGGTTTCTTGAAGAATGTTAAATAGAAATAAATATGTATATAATGAATGGACAAAATTACCAGGGAGGTGTATTGCTTCTTTAATGGTACAACTCAGGCAAACTCATAAGTGCAGTCCTTGTGTCTGTAGGAAGTAATTTATTTAGAATGATATTCATGCTTTATTATATAAAGGTAATTTGTTATTTATTATATAAAGGTAATTTGAGAGACCAAATTGCCAATATCCGCTGGATAATGGAGAAAGGCAGGGAGTTTCAGAAAAACATCTACTTCTGCTTCATTGACTATTCTAAAGCCTTTGACTGTGTGGATCATAATAAATTGTGGCAAGTTCTTAGTGGGATGGGCATCCCAAGCCACCTTGTCTCTCTCCTGAGGAATCTGTACAAGGACCAAGTAGCAACAGTCAGAACTGACCATGGAACAACAGACTGGTTCAAGATTGGGAAAGGCATCCGGCAAGGCTGCATCCTCTCACCCAACCTTTTTAACTTGTATGCA